CCTTATTTGGACTGTATCAAGCTGTTCTGAACTTACCAATGAATTCTCTTTGACCCTTGATACAATTTTAAATACTGAACAGTCGGATATTTAGAGGATTCATTTTTTTTCTTTTCCAGAACTTCACTAATAAAAACCATAAAACTATCTTTTATTTATTCAGTGTTATATCTTTAAATTAAATAAACCATCATGGTATCCAGCAGCGTGAAGCACCAGAAAGAAGAAATCAGCTGGATCCCTACATGTATCACAAGCATGGAAGACTTGGAGAAACTCAAGTCAATCATCCACCATTATGAAAAGTTAGCAATGCAAGAGTGAACAAAGCAAAAATGGAATCTTACCTGTTGTTGGCACATTGTTTTCTTAGCCAACCCAAAGAGGCAAGACTCAAATCAGGGACTGTCACCAGCCTCAGCCACTGTCATCCCCTACCTACCACCTCCACTCTTCTGGAAATGGTAAGCGGGTGGGTGACAACTGGGCTTAATATACCTGGCACTGGGGTCACCTGAGTAAAAATGACGTCATGCTGAAACACCACATCTGAATCCAGATAAATTGCAATTTAAAAAAAACGCGTTTAAAATTGGTGAGATTAATAGACATCCCAGTCAAAACAAATCAGGAGCTGGCTAACGTCATTGAAAATGATGTCACTGAGTTGCAAGACATAACTCTCAACGCAGAAATTTTTTCCAATTTGTGAGCTTATAATGCAATTAATTTCAGGTCTCAAAATTTACCTGAAAATGATTGAAAAAATGATGAACCACTAGCTCAAGAAATCTAAATAAAAATAATTTTAATACCAATAATTTAAACCTTTAATTTAAACACTTATAAAAGTTTAAACTTAATATTGATGACCAAAACTCTACTTTTTGTAATAATTCAACAATAAGAGTACCTTCCTCAGCAATTAAGGTAAGATTAGTTGCCAAACTGCATGCAATTTGGTAGCATTTAAACACAGCCCTAGCCACTCACCAAGATCTTCAAGGCCAAAAATCCTGGCAAAGTCAGGCTCTGTTTGGTGTGGCGCCTTTGGGTGACCCAATGAAACACCTGGGCATCACCCTGAACCACAATGAACCAGATTTGCCAGGTATCAAAGATGGGCTCATCAGGAAGCTTGCATTCTGCATTGCCACCATCAGGGGGAGGAACATGGGACTACTGGAAAGAGTTGTAGTTATAAACTCCCTCCTACTCCCAATCCTCTGGTTCCCAGCTGCTATCATCTCCTTCTCAGCAGATTTCCATGAATGCATCAGGGCCTTACTGAAGTCACAGTTTTGGGATGGCAGAAGATCCCAATCAGAATAGGCCCACTTCATGGCCCAAGAGTGGAAGGAGGTCTAGGCCTCACCAACCATGTCAAGCAATCATATAAGGTATTCAGTAGTTGGATAGTAAGAGTGACAAGCTCAATTCCCACCACAAAACACTGGTCATACACTGCAAGAATCAATCTAGATAAGGACCTCAGACTTATTAACTCTACAGTTATGAACACCCTTCTATTGTACCTGCCAATTAATTCAAGTGCCTTGGTCTACATCATTTGTCAAGCTTCTCCTGCATGATCCTGAAGGTCATCAACTGAGATGAATGGCTGTTAACGCTCAACATTATGATAGGCCAACAAAGTCAAGGGTTTGCAATGCATGCCTACACCCAGGAATTCAGGGGCACTTGTGTCCTAGTAAAAGAATACCCCCTACTAAGAACCTGCATTCTGGCCTGGCTTGACCTCCTGGACCAAAATGATCAGCCTTATGATGAAGCCACGCAGAAAAAAAATTATGGAAATTCATGATACATGACCTGCTCCACTCAAAAACCAGAGCACACATCTGGAGATACTTACACGGGGCCTATTAAACAGTTGAAAGATCCAACTCCACTCATGAGCCCTGAAAATTGTGCAGAGTGTAACAGACTGGTTCTTTTTAGTGATTGACAAAGGTATTGGGTAATACCAACCAGGAAATAGTCCATAGACTGGATAAAACCCCAGAGAGTGTTCTGAAGGTCCGCATACCACTATGATGATGTTGAAACCAGCCTTGGATAAGAGTTAAGATAATACTTAACCCTAACAATGATCTTTGAACTCAGGTGAGAGCAAATAGAATTCCCTTAGGTGACTGAGTTTATTATCCTGGAAGGAGGTGCTTATCATAGTATATAGTTCAATAAAAGTAGAAGTTAATGGAATTTTTAAAGATATGTTTTATTGAGCCAACTGAGTAAGAACACAGAATTGAGGGATAAAAAAATTACTCAATTATCTTTATAGTATGTCAATAATAATTTCTTAGACTTGTTTAAGTCTTATGAGATTATTAGTCTGCAATAGTTGATAATTGTGATTTTAAACATAGGAGTAAATTATAGGGGTTTAGTTTAAAATATGTGATAATTATTAATGATGTAAGAAAGAAGTGGCAGTGATCATCAATTGCCATTATTCTGAATTTGGAAGGCCTATTTTTAGACACATCAATCTGGTTTTAATCAAGTCAATTTTAATAAATTTGATTAAAATTTGGGTCCCTTTTTGGTCCAGTGGCTAGGATTCCACGCTCTCACCATGGCGACAAGGGTTCAATTCCCTGTGGGGGGAGCCACTATTCTTATAGATTAATTTTATATGCAAAATGGGTGAATTACTCCATTCACTGGAGAATTACATCATTTTGGAACCCCTATAAATAGGGGTTCTTTTTGAGGCCTGCATTGGAGGGAATCTGATGTTAATGCTGTATCAATTATTAAGTAGTTCCAGATTTTTGGATCTCAGATTCGTCAGATCCATTAAAAGTATAAAAGAACCTTGATTTATTAATAAACTTTGCCCCAATTGGGTGTCTTCTTCCCTAAAACTATCAGTATTTTTATTAAAATTTATTGTTTAGTTTGTCATTATCAATTCTAATAATAACAATGTGGTGGTCAGGAACATTCTGTACCATCACACAGAGCAACTGACACCCTGATTCACAGGATGAAGGAGTGTCCAGTGGCCTTACTGGTATAGAAACTGGCATGGGCATTAATAGCACCCATCTTAATACCCTCCAAGCTTTTCCCAATCACAAATTTCCTCACAATCATTATTAATTCAACCATGCTGAGAATTGCTTCAAGCAATGGTTTTTGCATTGTCCTTATAGACAATACATATAATTTATTTCAAGGCGCTACAAAATAACTGTCCTGAACCTGACCAAAAAAATTAGTCTAAACATAATTAAGACACCCAACATATGGCTGTTTGCCAAAGCAATTCCACGCTTTCTTCAGAAAATAGTTCAAAATTGGCTTCCACTCCCATTTCTATCTGTCAACCAGATATGCAAGTCTGCCTTTTTATTAATGAAGAAGCACCAAACAACTCACGTGAGCCCACTCAACGCTGCTAGGTTTAATGGAACACCTGCCATGTCATTCTCCCCTAGTACTCAGTTTTAAGTCACAGCCCCCTTCATAGATCTTACTCCCCCTCTCTTTGGTGCAACATATTTTTCCCAAGGTCTGTCAACCATTAATAAAATATTATTATTATTATCATTTCTCCATTACCCCAAGCTGTCATAAAACAATTATATTTTAAATTTTGAATTTTTATCTTATTTGAGGTACACCAACCAGGGGACAGACAGCACCAATACTCAAAGAGCATAAAAATTTGAAACAAAATAAAACAACAAATAAAGCCTCCAACCAGACAGGGAGTGGAGGACCGCTAACTTACCATAGCAGAGGGGGAAGAGGGTCAGGCAGCTTATCCGCAGGCACAGCAACCATTTCAGTTAAAGTATTGTTGTAGAAGCAGCTCAAGGCTGAGAGCAATGGCGTCAGGGCATCACATGGTGAGGGCCAAGGTAGAGGACAAAATTATTAAGATACTAAATATCAGTCTTAATGATATCTTGATTTAATTTCGCCACATTACGTTCAGCCTGAAGGTGGGCATCAGCAAGTAGAAGAAAATCATCATTTTGCTTCTGTGTGAACAGTTTGTTTGGGTATATGTCGCTATTTTGGCAACTTTTATAGTAAAATTGATAGCACTAACATCCAATTTGTTGTTTCATCACACGCATTTTCAGGAAAACTGGGGGGAAGTTAACTGTAATAAGCCTATTATGGAATACCGCAACAGACTTTGCAACATCAATGCAAAGGTGGGAATAAAGGGGGGAAGTCACTGCTGCCAAGGCCAGCTTCTGGTCACTTTGAAAGTAGATAGCATTGGGTTTAGGGCATAACGTCTAGGTGGGATAGAGTTATCAAAATTTAAGGTAAAAAAGTGCACCCAGTCATATCCATCTGAGGCTTCCTCACCTGATTCATCAGCTTTCTTTCTAACAATCTCACCTGATTAATCAACATCATCCAATAGGGATCAAGGATTTTGGTTTACAAGAATAGTGGAGGCAGAAATAGGGTGGGTGGTAGTAGGAAAATGGGAAGCTTCTTGGTGGAGAACAGTGGTCCAAACCTGTTTCTAATTGTTTGGGGTGAATTCAGGTAATTGAGTGTGCCTGGAGGGCATGGTGGGGTCAGATTTTTCACTCTGGCCCCATGATCTAGTGTTGGGTGGGAGGGAGCAACAAAATACCACATTAAGACACCACTGACAAGGGTTCAGAAACAGAATCAGAGGAAGCGGCATGTGGGCAGGATTTTTTAGAATGGTTAATCCTAAAACAAAGGGGACAAATCTGTCAACCTATATCAACATGAGCCCAAAAGAACTTCTCTGGCGCCACAGAGATGCAGGAATGAGGGGGGATTTTTTGGGCTATGGCGGAGTGGTATGGGATTATGGTGGCAGTGGCATGAGGGGCGTCATAGAACAATTTTAAGGTTTTATTATTTTTATCCTTAAAAATTTAAGTCAATATTTTGTGCGTTTCAAGAGCATTCATTCACTAACCACCTTTCTAGATTATTTTCTGTTTATAATGATGAGAGTCTCATTTTAAAGGTTATCTGTTTTTTATCTTAGCTTATTGAAGCTAGAAATAAAACCTATATGTGATTAGACTTTATTTCTCTATTTTAAGGTCACTGTCCTTATACAGTTCCTTTTATTCTATAAAAAGTATCACTTTACATGTGCTGTTGTATTTTGACACCTAAGCGCCAATTACAACAAGTTCCACCCATAAATACCCCTTTAATCAAAGCTAGCAGGTGGAATTACCTAATAGCCTTCCTTTAACATCACAGTATAGGATATTTCTTAATCAATATAAAATTTTTAAAGTTTTGAGCAAGGTTTTATAGTATATAGTAAAAAAATAACCTATCACCTCACCATTATAAGGGTGCTGGGTTTTAGGATTGGAAAGGGGGGAAGCTTGGTTTAAACAAATTATAAACTCCAAAAATGGAACAATCAATATTACCAAAGAAAATAAACTTAGTTTAAATGGCATGGTATGATATCGCATCAAACAATTAAAATTCATTCACCTAACTGTTTGAAAGGATTTGATCCTTTTTTAGATGTTAAATGTTGCTTTGTCACCATCTGAACTTATTGACTTAAATATAAACTATTGCTTACCTTTTTTTGTCTGACTCAGGCCTTATTCTTGGTTATTTTATGCAAACATTCATCCAGGGTTACCCCAGGTATCAATTTCTAATTGAGGGTGCTCATACTTGATCCCTTTGTTAGTAGGGTAAAATTTCACTTGCTGTGCTAAATTTTTTAATTATTTGTAAATGCAAAACAGAGCAGTTTTGTTATCTACACATAATTTTCTGCTGATCAGAGATAATAAAAGGTATTAGATTGTAAGCTGTGTGTTTGGCATGGGAAGTCAGACAAAAAGGGGTAGTTGCCATCCAACTGTCATCCATGGTGTGTCCTAGAGCTTCTAATTGGGTCAATGGAAGAATCCTATGGTTTGTTCCATTTTTGATTTAAAGGGGTGCAGGGTTCTTCTATCTTGATTGCTGCATTTGGGAACTGTAATGGATGGGACTCCCAAGGCCCAGCCTGCCACCAGCTGTGAACCCAAAATCTCAGACAGGAGTCACACCTGCAAGGGAAAGGGCAATAGCTGTACCAAACCCCCAAGACTCCTCTCTGAGCGGTTGGCCTCACTGAGCACATTGGGCCAAGGTGCAGCAAACTGGCCTCTATCACCTCAGGGCCACTCTGGCAACCACCATACTGAAGGGATGGGTGAAGGCTGAATGTAACGGATCAGGTGACATCTGATCTGTACATTGCTTTGGATCAGTCAGTACTGGATCTGAATATGGAATTCATGGGAAGGATCCCAAATGAGAGGGGATTAGAGCAAGGAAGATTTAACTGTCCAAAGCCAAAATACATCTGAGTCAATATGATGTCAGACTTATGAGCTGCGTGGATGATGATTCAGTGGGATATGGAATCTTTGCTTGAGATGGGTTGGCCAGTTCAGGAGAGCTTGGTGTAGGAGAAAGCTTACTTAATATTAGCAAAGTGCTAAATATTTGGGGATAGGCTAGCCTGAATGGCCAGTTGAGTCTTCTACAAAATCCCCAAAAATCAAATAAAGATTTTCTTGCTTAAGAAAAGAATATTTTCTTTTAATAGAATAATCAGATCAAAGATATGAGCTCCATTAGTGAGCTCAGCATGGCGTTGGCGTGGATCTCAGTATTCTCCTACAGCATGTGGACAGTGATCTGAGGGTTCATGGCAATGACAAAACTTGGCGGATGGGTTTGAAGATTGGTTCTGGCAGGCTGGTCCCTAATAGAGTCAGCTATGAGGCTCTTACTTCCCAATTTCCTCATAGAATATTGGCATGAACCCATTTGTTACACTGAGGTGCAGTGGATAATGATGTTCTGCCAGCCTCTGGTCACCCATGCTGCAGCTTTTGACAAACTTCCCCAACATCTTCTGAACTGGAGTATTCCGCTCCATCAGGGCATTGCCACCCCAAGGGATCTCAGGACGTCAACCCCCTTTCTCACTTCCAATCACACTACCATCCATGTTAAATTAACCTTCCAGATAAGGAGCTCACCCAACCAGGTCTTGGAACCCAGTATAGACCTCCCTATTCCTCATGTAAAATACAATTTTAAATTATATTAATTATAGCAGGTGTAGAAAATAGCGGCCTTTATTTGGGGTAAATTATAAGTTTGGAATAGAATTCCTAAGTGAGGTCCATCAGGGGCAATCTCACTTTGAAATATTACCTAAAAAAGCTAAATGCATTGTCAGTCATGAGGCATGTAAAAGCCTCCAGAATTAATGGCATCTCAGCAACTCATCAGCAAATGGGAAAAATCAAAAATGGACAACCACTGAAATATTTATTTAAAATTCCCCCACCATTGGCCTGATTAGGAAAACCTCATCAGAATAATGGAATTGCAACCATCAACATACCTGAATCATGTAATTCCTGATCTTATGAGATTTATATATGGTCATTGACCATTACAGGAACCTTACAGAAAAAGCCCTAGTTAAAATTGATAATACTTATGTTGTTAAACAAGCTAATAGGGTATATAATAGATGCTTAAGATGTCATGGCTAGATGATATGAGAGTTGGTACATAGTGCAAAAACAAAGCAGAGCGTGCAACCATCTAG